TCTACGGTCTCCGCCAGGCGCCACGTGAGTGGCAGGACACACTGAGGACTACGCTTGCGGCTCTTGGGTTTGCTCCTTCTACTGCCGACCCATCGCTGTTTCTGCGCACCAACACTTCTCTGCCGCCGTTCTACATCCTCGTGTACGTCGACGACTTGGTCTTTGCCACAGCTGACACTGCTGGACTCGCCTACGTGAAGTCCGAGCTGCAGAAGAGACACACGAGCACAGACCTGGGTGAACTGCGCAGCTACCTTGGCTTGCAGATCACCTGGGACAGAGCACGCCGCACCATTACCCTGACTCAGTCACACATGGTGCAGCAGGTCCTTCAGCGCTTTGGCTTCACGTACTCCTCGCCTCAGGCCACTCCTCTGTCTACTCGCCAATCGCTCTCAGCTCTGCCTTTGGATGAGTCCGTAGAGTCGAGTGGCCCGTATCCAGAGCTTGTTGGCTGCCTCATGTACCTGATGACCTGCACACGACCTGGCCTTGCATACCCTCTTAGCATTCTCGCACGCTATGTTGCTCCTGGGAGACACAGACTAGAGCACATGGCTGCAGCGAAGAGGGTGTTGTGCTACTTGTGCAGTACGTCGGGCATGGGACTAGTGCTTGGAGGGCGGAGTCCAGTAGTCCTCACTGGGCACGCGGACGCTTCTTGGGCTGACGACCAGGCCACGCAGCGGTCGTCACAGGGTTACACCTTCAGCCTTGGTTCTGGCTCTGTTTCGTGGCTGGCTACTCGCTCGTCTTCTGTTCTCGGCTCCAGTTGTGAGGCTGAGATCTAAGCCGGGGCCATGGCTGCATAGGAGCTTCGCTGGCTCACCTACCTGCTGATCGACCTTGGAGAGTCGCCTCGTTCTCCTCCAGTCCAGTACGTCGACAACAAGGCCATGCTGGCCTTGTGTCGAGAGCAGAGACTGGAGCACAGAACAAAGCACATTGCTCTCCGCTACTTCCTTTCTCGTGAGCTACAGCAGCGTGGTCAGTTGCGGCTTGCGTACGTGGCCTTTGAGGCCAACACTGCTGATGTCTTCACCAAGGCACTTGGGCCTTGTGATCATCAGCGCTTCTGCACCCAGCTGGGTCTTGTACCTGTCTTGCCTCACTTGCTCACCTCTTGACCTTGCTTGTACTGTTACATATATCTATACCTGCTCTTGCTTGTCTAGTCTTACGGTATATATATATATGTAATCCTGCATGTGAACTGGCCTTGTGGCCTTGAACTTGTGCTCGGAATGTGTGGTGACTTTGTGATCCACCCTGAGCTTGCTTTGCTTTGCTTTGTTTGACTGGTCTTGTGACCCCTTGTTCTCCCCCACTTTGCCTATGGGGGTGTGTCAGAACATATAGCTTGTGCTCATTGTGTAGGCTATAGTGGGGTAGCCCATAAAGGGGTACAACCCAATTAGGGTTAGTATTTGTACTCAGTTCATTCATAGTTCATTCATTCTCGTTTCAATCTTCTCAAACGAAAATCACAGCTACAAAATCAGCCTAATCAGCGTGTTTTACGCTGATATCTGAAGGCCTGCTTCCAACCTTGCTCTTTCTACAAACTAGCTTCCGCAACGCCGGCATCATGCCTTTCTAGCAGGGCGCAAGTCACGCGAAGGGTCACACGGTTACGAGAAGCATCTGGACCGTCGGGCAGACTGCGTCAGGCAGCAGCAGTGGCGAGGATTCTGCCCGAACGGTTTCGTAACCGCCCGGAGTCGCACGGTTGGATCTCAATGCAATAAGGGAATGTACCTCTTAGCTAACATGGCTAGCTAGAACGTTTCGAATTCCCCAGTACTCCTATTTATATTCCTTGTACTGCATGTTTTTATTATCTCAAGCATTTACATTCACTCTGCTATTGAGGTCAAGGGCCCACCACCACTAGATTAGAAGTGTGCGAACCTTCCCGAGGTGATCCTGGTCACGATCAACTTCTGATCGCAACACAATCCATTCCTTGCTTGCTATCTTGACATGCGCGACGGGTCAGCAGTGGGTGCTGGACGATGGGGCAGCAGGGCGTGCTGGGCGACGGGGCACAGGGCGTGGTGGGCGACGGGGCAGCAGGGCGTGCTGGGCGACGGGGCAGCAGGGCGTGCTGGGCGACGGGGCAGCAGGGTGTGCCGGTGCCAGATAACCAGGCAGCGGGGGGTGTTACGAGGCAGCGGGGTGCAAGGGAATGAGCTACAGAGCAGAATATCTAACGTGGGCTAGCTGGGTGGGCTAGCTGTTCTACAGCAGTGGCGGCGGCTGTGAAAGCTTGTGAAAGCTGAACAGGAAAGAAAAGCAAACCTGTGCCAACATGCCTGGGTGTTGAGCTAACTGCTCTTGGGCAGTGGTGTCTCAGCAAGCCATGGTGGTGAGGGGATGGATGGGACAGCAGCAGCTTTTCTACCATAGATAAGGAAACGGGGAATCTCAAACACGCTGTGCAAGTGCTGCATGTTCCAACAGCGTGCCCAAGCACCATACTATTGAGTACTGGAAGGTTACTTCGGAAGAATTATTCGTCTATTATCAACATTGTTACAAAGCAAAAATTAGTATGTAAAAGGAAGATAGCCTATGCACTAGTGAACTTGGTCACGGCTTTTGTTCCCTCTGAAACAGCGTGCTTCGCAAGCTCCCCAGGCAGAGTCAGCCGAACAGCCGTCTGGATCTCGCGAGACGTAATCGTCGGCTTCTTGTTGTACCGCGCGAGCTTAGACGCCTCCGTCGCGAGCTTCTCAAAGATATCATTTATAAAAGAATTCATGATCGACATGGCCTTGGACGATATCCCCGTGTCTGGATGCACCTGCTTCAGCACCTTGTAGATGTAGATCTTGTACGTTTCTGTCACGGCCTTGCGAGCCTTTTTCTTCTCTTTCTTGTCGCCGATGGGCTTTTTCCCCGCGGGAATGGCTTTCTTAGCGGCGGGCTCCTTCTTGGGTCCCTTCTTCGCCGCCTTCTGCTCTCCTTCTACTTTCGGCGCCATCGTAACAAAGCGCTTTGTTGCTGGAAATGAGGGCCTTGGAAATGAGGGCCTTGGAAAGTGACAGTATGAGAACTGAAGTGCGTTGTTGTCAAGAGCTTTGGATAAGAAAACTGACGTAGTTACGAAGTGCGAGAACGGACGCTTGAGACACAAAAAAACTGTCGCCGCTGAGACATATTTCAACAGTTTGGGCTGTGAATGGGGGAGAAGGTCCATGACTGGAGTTGTGTGCGTGGTGTGTGGGTTGTCGGGATTTGTTGCAACGGTTGTGGTTGTTTGTGCTTTCAGAACTTAGCCAATGAAACGCTAGGCAGCAGATCGAGACCTTCAATATTGGCCGTCGATGATTAACGTGTAACTCGCTTAACCGTCAATAGCACTTCCAGCTAGGCTCCGCTTTTGCTCAAATTTAGATCGTCCGATCTAATTCAACAGCGTTGTGCTTGCGGTGGTGCAAGGTGTGGTAACTTTGCGAAATCTGGAGAAAGCCTCTCTACAGTCTTGCCTTGGTTGTAAGCCAATCACAGATCGCAGTCGCAAAAGTTTCGGGATCGACGTAAATCGTGCTTCGCCGTTGATATTCCTATCTCCAACTTCCTCATCGACGACCAAGAAACGCCAAGACCTCCGAACAACACGCCAAACCATGTCCAACAGCACAAAAAATGAGATGAGAAACACCACCGCGCTGGACTAGGCGAACCTACCACAACACCATACCACACCATATCAAAACGCACCACACCGTCCAGTGCCCCATCCATGCTTCTCTCCGTTGGTCTGACCCCAACTTGTCCAGCCTGCTCTGAATAAAGGGGCACTGAATTGATTCTCATCACCATTCGAGTGCCTCTCCAAGTCTTCCGTTCCAGTTCCTTCTCTCCGAATCCCAGTTCCTTCTCGAATTCATAGTCCCAGGTTTCCTTTGTTTTTCAAGATTGAAGAGAGACTTCATACTAAACCATTTTTCAAGACTTCGTTGCGGAGCTGCACATATTCTTGACCTCTGATTGAGCTGCGTCTGCGTCTCGCTTTCAGTTTCAGTTATTCTTTAAGAATTCCCAGCCGTATCTTCGTGTGCGGTCGTCAGTCATCATGTCGGGACGCGGCAAGGGAGGGAAGGGCCTTGGAAAGGGAGGCGCGAAGCGTCACAGGAAGGTTCTTCGCGACAACATTCAGGGCATCACCAAGCCGGCTATCAGGCGACTCGCTCGCCGCGGCGGCGTCAAGCGTATCAGCGGTCTAATCTACGAAGAGACTCGCGGTGTGCTGAAGGTGTTCCTCGAGAATGTCATTCGTGACGCTGTGACTTACACGGAGCACGCGCGGAGAAAGACGGTCACCGCCATGGATGTTGTTTATGCTTTGAAACGCCAAGGCAGAACACTATACGGCTTCGGCGGCTAGCCAGAAAAAAAAAAATAGGCATGTGGAAGTTGTAGGATTTACCGTAGTTTCCAGTTAGCGTTGTCATCAGTTATGATTGTACAAAAGAATCACCAACGATATAACCCGCACCTCTTTCTGTGCGCCTTGGAAACAAGACTCCTACGCGCTGGATACACAGTCCAATCATGGTGTCAGTGGTTGAGTGACCCCAATGGTTGCAAGGATGGTAAAACGGTTGTGAAGACGGTAGCTGGAAAATGGTACAGCACATTCCAGGAGTTAGTAGTGATAGACAGCCATGCTTGTCATTGGAGAAACACTACACACCTATCAATATGGAGCAGCAGAGCAGCTGACATTCAGCAAGCGTTTCAGGTTGCTCCTTCAACTACTCGTCTGATTGTTTTGCTGCCTACCCTTCTACTGGTACCATGTTGTGACTCGTGAGCGTTACTTTGGCACAGAGTTTGCAGCACAGCAGACCCACCATCTTCTAAGCAGGAAGGAAGGCAGTGTGGCGTAGTCAGACACTGCTTGTGCGTAGGCGGACGGAACTCAGTAAAACAATTTTTTGTATGCTGCTACCTGGAAGAACCTGCTACTATCGCTGGCCCTTGCATAGGCATCAGCGGCCAAGAGGGGCGTTCATGAGGTCAATGGCTTTCTCGGCAAGCTGCACAGACACAGAGATTAATGGGGGAGGAGGGGAGGGGTTGATGGGGAGGAGCAGAAGAGACATAGAGTGAGGAGAGGAGGTGAGTGAAAGAGGCGTGTTCGTAAGGTAAATGGCTTTCTCGGCAAGCTGCACAAGCACCGGATAAATAAGGGGGGAGGGGAGGGCGAGAAAGGAGGGGGGGGGGGGGGGGGGGGGGGGGGGTTGACTTTTGAGTCGGATTGAGCCATCAGCGGACAAGAGGGGCGTTCATGAGGTCAATGGCTTTCTCTGCAAGCTGCACAGGCACCAAGGAGATCAAGGGGGGAGGAAGGGGAGGAGGGGGGGTTGATGGGGAGGAGCAGGAGAGACACAGAGAGAGGGGAGAGGAGGCGAGTGAAAGGGGGGCGTTCATGAGGTCAATGGCTTTCTCTGCAAGCTGCACAGGCACCAAGGAGATCAAGGGGGGAAGGGGAGAGGGGGAAAGGAGGGAAAGGGGGGGATGACTTTAAGTCGACTCAGAAGTCGGATTGAGACGTCAGCGGCCAAGAGGGGCGTTCATGAGGGGCGCAACCGCAAAGGGTCAATGGCTTTCTCGGCAAGCTGCACAGGCACCAGTCGAATAAAGAGAGGGGGGGGGAGGGGAGGAAGAAGAGGGGGAGAGAGGGGGGGAGTTGACTTTTGAGTTGAATTGAGACATCAGCCGCCAAGAGGGGCGTTTATGAGGGGCGTTTATGAGGGGCGGTCAATGGCTTTCTCGGCAAGCTGCACAGGCACAGAGGAGATCAAGGGGGGGGGAGGAGCAGCAAAGACACAGAGAGGCGAGGAGGTGAGTGAAAGAGGGGCGCTCATGAGGGGCGGTCTATGGCTTTCTCGGCAAGCTGCACAGGCACAGAGTAGGAAATCCAGGGGGAGGGGGAGTAGGGGGGGTTGATGGGGAGGAGCAGAAAGTGACATAGAGAGAGGGGAGAGGAGGCGAGTGAAAGAGGGGCGTTGATTAAGCCCCCTCCCACCCCACCCCATCCCATCCCACCCTACCTTGGACACGGTCTTGAGCTCTCGGTTGATGGTACCTTCTGGTTGACTCAGAAAAACCCCACTCCTCATCCCCTTCCCCACCCTGCCACCCCACCCCACCCCACCACACCCCACCCCACCCTACCTTGGACACGGTCTTGCGCCATGGGCTCGATGGCCTTCCAGGAGAGCGGGCTGTTGACCACCAGTGGCCCCAGTCCCCCCATCCCCTACACCCCACCCCACCCCACTCCACCCCAACCCACCCTACCTTGGACACGGTTTTGAGCTCTCGGGCCATGGGCTCAATGGCCTTCCAGGAGAGAGGGCTGTTGATCTCCAGCGGCCACACCTGGAGGGGCGAGGAGGGGTGAGAAGGGGTGAGAAAGGGAGAAGGAGGAGGCAGGTAAGTCATGGATGGGGGCTCTATGGCCTTCCAGGAGAGAGAGGGCTGTTGATTTCCAGCGGCCACACCTGGAGTGTCAGAGGGGGCGGGGGGAGAAAAAGCGAGGAGACGACAAGGAAAGGAGGCTGCTGAATGGCTTTCCAGGAAGATGGGTTGTGTTGTGTCGCCGTAAAGTGGCCAAACCTGGAATAACAACCATCTCCACACACCTCCACCCATCTCCACCCATCTCCACCCTTCCCCACCCATCTCCACCCACCTGCAAGCCCATGACAATGACGAGCCGCTTCAACCCCAGCACCAGACAGCCCTCCCATGCCGCCTCCACCCCTGCCTCCTGCATCAGCAACAACAAGCCTCCATAGCACCCACCTGCACACCCATCTGCACCCACCTGTACGCCAATAGCACCCACCTCTACCCATCTCCACCGCTCTGCACCCACCTGCACGCCCATAACAATGACGGGCCGCTTGAGCCCAGGCACCAGACAATCCTCCCCTGCCGCCTCCACCCCTGCCTCCTGCGCCAACCCCATGCCTATAGGGTCCGGATGCTGTAGGGGCGGTGGGGGAAGGGAAGGGGGGAAGAGGCAGCCCAAATAAGCACTAATCACGGCGCCTCCACCCCTGCCTCCTGCACCAACCCCATCCCTATGGGTGGGGACTGTATGCTGCTAGCTGCAATGTGCCGATGGGGGGAAGAGAAAGGGAAGCAGGTGATGATGAGAAGGACTCGCGGGGGTGATGTGATGGGGACATGGGTCTGACAGGCAGCACCAGCAGGGCACCTGCACAGCACAGCACAGCACGGCACGGCACGGCACCTCACAACACAGGCCCATCCACCCACCCGCAATATGCTCATGGCACAGCCCCATCCACCCACCCACCCACCCCACCCACCCAACCACCCACCCACCCACCCACCCACCCACCCACCCACCCACCCGCCCACCCACCCACCCACCCACCCACCCGCCCGCCCACCCACCCACCCACCCACCCACCCGCCCACCCACCCGCCCACCCACCCACCCGCCCACCCACCCACCTACCCACCCGCATGATGCTCATGGCATAGTCGAACTCCGGCCCGCGTCGCACACTCGCCAGAGCCGGCCCGCCAATGAGAGCCACCCCTGTGCCCTTGGCGCGCCAGGGCGCGTCTGCTCTGAGGGTCTTCTTGGGAGGAGCCATGCCGCCTGTTTGTGGGTGTGCTTGGTTGCTGCATACGCGTGGGCAAAAGAAGGATTGGAAGGGAAGGGAAGGGAAGGGATGGGAAGGGAAGGGAAGCCAATGAGAGCCACCAACGTGCCCTTGGCCCGCCAGGGCGCGTCCGCTCTGAGGGCCTTCTTAGGCAGAGCCATCCGGTGTGGGTGTGGTTGCTGCATACGCGTGGGCGAAAGAAGGATGAGAAGGGAAGGGAAGGGGAGGGAAGGGAAGGGAAGGGAAGGGAAGGGAAGGGAAGGGAAGGGAAGGGGAGGGGAGGGGAGGGATGGGAAGCCAATAAGAGCCACCACCGTGCCCTTGGCACGCCAGGGGACGTCCGCTGTAAGGGCCTTCTTGGGCGGAGCCATGGGGTGTGTGTGTGGGTGTGGTTGATGCATAGGCGTGGGCGAAATGAGGAGAGGGAAAGGAAGGGATGGGGAGTCAAATAAAGCCACAGCCGTCTCGTTGGCGCGCCAGGGTGTGCTTGCTCGAAGGGCGTTCTGGAGCCATTCGGTATGGAATCACAATTAAAGCCAGCGTCCAATCCAAGCCAGCGTCCAATTGCCAGCGTCCAATCGAAAAGCGCACGGGTTGGGACGGCCGCGGGGAAGGGTTAGGCTGTGATTTTCTCACCCTCGTTACCTGCTCCTCACCCTGTCTTTCCGCACCCTCCCCTCGAGCTAACCCTAAGATAATTTCGTACGTATGTCGTAATTCGTTGCTAGAGCTCCTGTTACTCACGCACTCAGTCGCGCGTTACGAGATTAAACCCAGACGGCAATAACGCCGGGCCGTTACGCCCCAGTACCCAGTTCTTACATGGGTGAGCGGACGCACGAAAAAAAACGGAAATTATTTTGAAAGATCTCAAAAACGGGCGCACGGGAAATGCAGCAACAAAGCGCGAAAAATGCGATCCGCGCCACGTGGTGTGGTGAGATAGCAAGGAAAAGTATGGTCGTAAAACGCACTACTGTGGTTGGCAGTCCTAATGGATTTCCTCAGCAATAATGGATTTCCTTATCCGTGCTTCACGTGCCATCGTGTACAGTTCTGTTGGCTCGCCTTGCGACATGAGGGCGTATTCCTAGCTTCGTGTCATCCTGGCTTTGTGTCATCCGAAATTGTGGGATCGAATAGGTAAATTCAAAGCTCGAAACGCGGGTTTCCCGATTGGCTCCCACAATTTCGGATGACACCAACACGGGATGACACGAAGCTAAGAATAAGCCCTGAGTGGTGGAAATTTCAATACACTTTCCCTCCCCGTAGTGGATTCGGGCAGGTTCGGCTGGCGTTATGGGCGTTATGTCCTTTTTAACGGGCCTCGAAAAACGCCGGGTCGAAATAACGACGAAGCCAAGATGCGCTAGCGTTGTAACTTCGGAATAACGTGAGGAAAGTAGAACGAGAATGAATGACTAAGGAATGGAAGTGATACAAATATGCAACCCTAGAAATGTGTACCCCATATGGGCTACCCCACTATAGCTTACACAATATTATAATTTGACACACCCCCATAGGCAAAGTGGGGGGAGAACAAGGGGTCACAAGTCCAGTTAAGCAAAGCAGACAAAGCTCAAGGTGGATCACAACGTCACCTCACAGTCCGAGCACAAGGTTAAGGCCACAAGGCCAGTTCACATGCAGGAGTACACATATATATATAAGGCTAAACAAGCAAGAGCAGGTATATATATATATGTAAGAGTACAAGCAAGGTCAAGGGGTGAGCAAGTGAGGCAAGACAGGCACAAGACCCAGTTGAGTGCAGAAGCCCTGATGATCACAAGGCGGAAGTGCCTTGGTGAAAACATCAGCAGTGTTGGCCTCAGAGGCCACGTACGCAAGTCGCAACTGACCACGTTGCTGCAACTCACGAGCAAGAAAGTAGCGGAGAGCAATGTGCTTCGTTCTGTGCTCCAGGCGCTGCTCCCGACACAAGGCTAGCATGGCCTTGTTGCCTACGTACAGCACCGGAGGAGAACGAGGCGGCTCTCCGAGGTCAGTCAGCAGGTAGGTAAGCCAGCGAAGCTCCTGTGCAGCCATGGCCCCGGCGTAGATCTCAGCCTCACAACTGGAGCCGAGAACAGAAGACGAGCGAGTAGCCCGCCACGAAACAGAGCCGGAACCAAGGCTGAAGGTGTAACCCTGTGACGACCGCTGCGTAGCCTGGTCGTCTGCCCAAGAAGCGTCCGCGTGCCCAGTGAGGACCACTGGACTCCGCCCTCCAAGCACTAGCCCCATGCCCGACGTACTGCACAAGTAGCGCAACACCCTCTTCGCTGCAGCCATGTGCTCTGGTCTGTGTCTCCCAGGAGCAACATAGCGGGCAAGAATGCTAAGAGGGTATGCAAGGTCAGGTCGTGTGCAGGTCATCAGGTACATGAGGCAGCCAACAAGCTCTGGGTACGGGCCACTCGACTCTACGGACTCATCCGAGGGCAGAGCTGAGAGCGAGTGGCGAGTAGACAGAGGAGTGGCCTGAGGTGAAGAGTACGTGAAGCCGAAGCGCTGAAGGACCTGCTGCACCATGTGTGACTGAGTCAGGGTAATGGTGCGGCGTGCTCTGTCCCGGGTGATCTGCAAGCCAAGGTAGCTGCGCAGTTCACCCAGGTCTGTGCACGTGTGTCTCTTCTGCAGCTCGGACTTCACGTGGGCGAGTCTAGCAGTGTCAGCTGTGGCAAAGACCAAGTCGTCGACGTACACGAGGATGTAGAACGGCGGCAGAGAGGTGTCGGTGCGTAGAAACAGCGACGGGTCAGCAGTAGAGGGAGAAAACCCAAGAGCCGCAAGTGTAGTCCTCAGTGTGTCGTGCCACTCGCGCGGTGCCTGGCGGAGACCGTAGACTGGCCGTCGGAGGCTCCACTGGGTGCCAGGAGGGAAAGTCCCAGTGAAGCCAGGTGGACGGCGCAACCAGATCTCCTCGTGCAGGCTACCCTGCAGGAAAGCAGTGCTGAAGTCAAGGGAGTGAAGCTCGTAGTCACGCTGAGCGGCTACGTGTAGCAGCACCCGAAAAGTGGTCATCTTCGGGGTGGGAGAGAAGGTCTGAAAGTAGTCAACTCCTTGCCGCTGACTGAAGCCACGAGCCACGTAACGCGCCTTGAAGACAGGTGGAGAGCCCGGCGGCCGCTTCACCCTGAAGATCCACATGCCACTGACGATGTTCGCCCCAGGAGGGGGAACCGCGTCAACGTAGGTGCCTGTGGACTTCCAGGAAGCCATCTCTGCATCCATAGCTGCCTGCCACTGAGAGGAGTAGGGACCCTCTACGGCCTCCGCGTAAGAGCGCGGAGTCGGGATGTCTAGTGCATCCGGGTCTCCCTCAGGGGTAAGCAGTACGGATGCAAGATGAGGTGAAGCAGCAGCCAGACACTGGAACTCCTCCTGCCTGTCCTCAAGGACGTCTGTGCCAAGAGCACACTCACCCCCGACGGACGGAGGACAGACAGACGCAGACTCAGCAACAAGACTAGCAGCGTAGTCTAGACGACAGCGAGCAGCAAAGTCGACGAGCTCAGCAACAAGAGCAGACGCAGCAGTGGACTCAAAGGAGGGGTCAGTGACGACAGTAGCAAGGAGACGCGTGGCAGTAGGACTGGCAGCACGAAGAGAGTCCGACTCAGGGTCGGCAAGCACAGGAAGAGAGGACTCAGGAGGAGAGGGCAAAGGGGCACGCAGAGGAGCAGTGGACGGACGCAGAGACATCCGGTGCGTGCCAGGGACAGGAGGAGGACGCTGACGCGAACCGCGACCACTAGTGCGAGCAGCACGAACAGGCGACGCAGGACGAGACGCAGGCTCACGACGCTCAGCGAGACCTCCAGTAGGACCAGTGTACGCAGAAGGAGAAGGCAGTGGGGAGGCCGGCGGTAACTGTGACTGCGACTGGACAGGCGGTGGACACTCTAAGGGAGGAGGAAGACCAAGAACCTGCTGAAGGAGCGGAACAAAGTACGGCCGAGGCCGCGTGGCGACTCCAGACACAGCAGGGACAGCACCAGCACCCCCAGCGGCAGCACCAGCGTCAACAGCACCTCCAGCTCCAGTACCTCCAGCAGCACCAGCAGCACCCGCAGCACGACCGCCGCCAGGACTGACAGCAGTAGCCTCAGCGCCAACACCCTCAGCAGCTCCGACTCCAGTAGCACTCGCAGGACTAGCACCTCCGAGACCGGCGGCACCAGCACCCTCAGCAGTTGAAGAAGCACCAACTCCAGTAGTACGCCTCCACCGCCGGGCAAACCACTCCCGCAACTCCTGTGGAGAGAGTGGCTCCCGCCGAGACGAAGCACTCGGAGAACCACCAGGCCCAGCACCGCCAGACGCCAGACGAGCAGGTCCAGCGGCCGCGGGCTCCGCACCCCCAGGCTCAGTAGCTCCAGACTCAGCACCCCCAGGCTCAGCAGCTCCAGACGCAGCACCCCCAGGCGAAGGACCCCCAGGCTCAGCACCCCCAGTCGTAGCACCCCCAGGCTCAGCACCCCCTGGCTCAGCACCCCCAGTCGCAGCACCCCCAGACGCAGCACCCCCAGGCTCAGCACCCACGCGCGCAGCACCCCCAGAGTCAGCACCCCCAGGCTCAGCACCCGCAGCAGTACCAGAGTCACCAGCAACCTCGACCGGCTCGACTGCATCTACCTGGGACACACCTGAAGGGGCAGGACCCTGAGGGGGGAGGGGGTCTACCGGGGGGGGGACCTGGCACAAGGAAGTGCGGTGGCGGGGGGAGGGAAGGAGTGCGGTAGGGGAAGAGGCGGTAGTAGGGTACTGACTCGTCGAACGTGACGTCCTGGGAGGACAGATCACGACGAGAGGTGGGGTGGTAGAACTGCCACCTAGGGGCGTCAGGGGGGAAGCCAAGGAAGACACAGGGAGCAGCACGAGGGGACATCTTGTCCGCAGACAAGTCGCGCACAAACGCCCGAGATCCCCAGACACGGAACGCATACGCATCGCCGACCTTCCCCGTCCACAGCAAGGTTGGGGAGGTCTCCGGTCTGGAGACCCTGGGGTGAAGGTTGATCTGATGCGCCGCGTACCGAACCGCAAACGGCCACAGAAAATGGGGGGCAGCCGCATGCATCATGGACGTACGAGCGACGTCCATGACCTTGCCAATGCGGCGCTCAGCAATCCCATTTTGCTGTGGAGAGTCCGGAAGCATAAAGGTCTGGCGGATGCCTCGCGCACGACAGTAGGCTCGCAGAAGGCCAGAGGAGAACTCTCCGCCTCGGTCAGAGTGCAGACGCAGAACAGGAAAGTCCGAGCCGAAGCTCCTCCTGAGCTGGAGACGAGCTGCGCGGATCCAGTCGATCAACACCTCAGCGACATCACCCTTGCTGCGCAAGGGGAAGACTGTGGTGTAACGCGAGTAGTCGTCAACCACCAGCAGGAAGTAGCGCTCGTGACCCTGTCCCTGGACGCGGGCCGGGCCCCACACGTCCATGTGAAGCGTCTGCAGCGGGGTCTCTGTCGGGGGAAACTGAGAGGAGTGAGGGGCAGCTCGGAGCCGCCCCTCGACACAGGGGACACAGGAAGGACCAGGCCCCGGAGGAAGGGGAGGGAGGGACCGGGGAAGACCAGAGACAAGGACACGGGAAGCCATGCCTCGAAGATGAGGCAGGGAGGGGTGACCAAGACGGTGGTGCCAGAGGAGAGTCTCGTGAGACAGGAGGCGACACGAGCAGGGGGCAGACTCAGGACCAGACCTGGACGCTGCAGCAAACACCGGACCCGACGCAGCTACCTGACCAGACGCAGTGACTGGAGGAGACGCGGTGGTCAGTGTGTACAGGCTCGACCCCGGCCGACGTGTAAACGTGGCCAGGTGTCGGCCTGTCCGAGCGTCCGTGCAGTGGGTCACCCGCTGACTCGCAGGAGTGAACTGGTGAACCCCCGTATCCTGCAGGTCAGCACCACTCACCAAGTTCGTAGAGAACGAGGGGAGGTAAAGACCAGACAAGGTGCCAGAGGGGGCAGCCGGACACGGGAGGACAGTGGAGAAGTGAGAGAGGACAGGACCCCCAGAGGGGTCTGCCAGGGAGACTGCAACTGGCCGACCAAGCGGCGTGAGTGTGGTGCGGTCTCGAAAGAAGGAGCGAGAAGCCCCTGAGTCAAGTGTGAAGGTGAGGGAGGCCGAAGCCGACGTGGTACCTGAGAGCGCAAACTCACCAGCACCTGAGGGCGCGGACGCACTGGCACCTAGAGCAGCAGCCTCACCAGTACCTAGAGCAGCAGTACCAATGCCCGGGTTGGGCGGGAAACACCGGTAACAGTCACCCTCATCACTAATAGTCACAGCATACATGGCAGCAAGGATAGCATCAAAGTCAAGATCAAAGATAGCTACGCCTTCCCTTGACAGCTCTTCCCAGCGGGGGATCTCACTAGCCTCCGGGAACTGCTGACGCTAAGCGTCCGTCAGGCGCCCAAAGTAGCGCTGGGTGGGGTGAGCACCCCCACACTGCTCACCCGCGCGGTCGCCGGAGCGGAGGACGTAGGTGCACGGGCCAAAACCCCCACCACGCTGACGCTGCGTGTACCACTCACGGAGCTGCTGAGGAGGGGGGATGTCCCGAGAACGCTGTTGCTGCTGCTGCTGCTGGCGCTGACCACTCCCGGAGCCGCTCCGCTGAGAAGCACCACCCCGACCAGCTCCACCTCCTCCACCACCGCCGCCTCCACCTCCGCCGCCACCGCCGCCTCCGCTCCCACCGCTACCGCCACCGCCGCCTCCGCCTCCGCCGCTGCCACCGCCACCTCCACCCCCGCCACCACTCCCACCGCCACCCCCACTCCCCCCGCCGCCCCCACCGCCACCTCCACCACCCCCGCTAGCCCCACCCGCGCCCTTGCCCCCCTTGCCCTTGCCAGAGCGACGTCTCCCGCTAGGGGCAGACGCCGCACCGACCGACTCAAGACCAACGAGGTCGGCCGCAGCAGCAGAGGCGACAGAGGGCAACAGGGGGGAAGGGGAACACCCCTCAAAGATGGGGGTGCGAGGGTCACCACGAGAGGCTCCTACAGCGACTATGCTCTTCTCCGCTGCTAGGAGGGCCTTCTCTAGGAGGTCAACAGTGAGAGTGGTGGGACAGACTGAGAGGAAGTGGTCCCTGACTATACGAAGGGAGTCAGGGAGGCGGGTGACTATATAATAGAGAGTGATGTACATGGGGGGGGGGTTCTTGACGCAGAACTCAGCAGGAAGCGCGGCGCGGTAGCGAGTGTCACTAGTGCGGAGGTGCGTAATGAGGTCAGCGACTGTGGGAAAGGCAGCAAGGTCAGGAAAGAGGTACGGTAGCATGAGGCGGCTCAGTGCAGCAGTGGCAGGGGAAGAGTAGCGTGCAACGACAGCGTCGTACAAGGTCTGAGCACTCTTGTACTGGCTAAAGTGCGCGCGCTCAGTGGTAGGCAGGTGGCGACGCACAGCAAGACGTGCAGCAGCATCGCGAGTGGCCCACTGGGAGCGAACAGTGGCGTCGGCATCGGCAGCAGGGGCAGGGGAAGCACCAGAGGTGAGGTCAAAGAGGGAAAGACCGTCTGCCCTATCGCACTGTAGGAAAAGCTGCAGGTCATCCACCCAAACCTCAAAGTCAATGGCTCGACCCTCAGCGTCAAAAGCGAGAACACTGGGGGTAGCCATGACAACAGTGGACTAGCAGTACCAACTGTAGGACAGGGGCAGTGCAGTGACAGAAGCGCTGCTCTCACCAGACAGGGCGGGTTGGGCAGCTCAGCGGTACAGCAGCACGGCAACACGGCTGCTCGGACGGCACTGCAACAATTGCGGCTCCATGGCACCAGCGGCTCGGCTCCTCAGGCGGCTCGGGCGGCTCGGGCGGCTCGGGTGGCTCGGGCGGCTCGGGCGGCTCGGGCTAGTCGGGCGGCTCGGGCGGCTCAGGAGAGTCGGGCGGCTCGGGCGGCTCGGGCAGCTCGGGCAGGTCGGGCGGCTCGGGAGGCTCGGGCGGTTCGGGCGGCTCGGGCGGCGCGGGCGGTGTAGGGCGGCATGGCCGCTGGTGCGAGGGGCGGCTGGGCCGCTGAGAAGGGCGGCGAGGCCGCTGCGGAAGGGCGGCGGGGCCGCTGAGTAGGGCGGCGAGGCCGCTGAGCAGGGCGGCGGGGTCGCTGAGGAGAAGGGCGGCGGGGCCGCTGAGTAGGGCGGCGGGGCCGCTGAGGAGAAGGGCGGCGGGGCCGCTGAGGAGAAGGTCGGCGGGGCCGCTGAGTAGGGCGGCGGGGCCGCTGAGGAGAAGGGCGGCGGGGCCGCTGAGTAGGGCGGCGGGGCCACTGAGGAGAAGGGCGGCGGGGCCGCTGAGTAGGGCGGCGGGGCCGCTGAGGAGAAGGGCGGCGGGGCCGCTGAGTAGGGCGGCGGGGCCGCTGAGTAGGGCGGCGGGACCGCTGAGGAGAAGGGCGGCGGGGCCGCTGAGTAGGGCGGCGGGGCCGCTGAGGAGAAGGGCGGCGGGGCCGCTGAGTAGGGCGGTGGGGCCGCTGAGGAGAAGGGCGGCGGGGCCGCTGAGTTGGGCGGCGGGGCCGCTGAGGAGAAGGGCGGCGGGGTCGCTGAGTAGGGCGGCGGGGCCGCTGAGGAGAAGGGCGGCGGGGCCGCTGAGTAGGGCGGCGGGGCCGCTGAGCAGGGCGGCGGGGCCGCTGAGGAGAAGGGCGGCGGGGCCGCTGAGTAGGGGCGGGGCCGCAGCGACGGGCGGCGATGCCGCGGAGACGGGCGGCGGGGCCGCGATGCGGGGCGACGGGGCCGCGATGCGGGGCGACGGGGCCGCTGTGACGGGCGGCGGGGCCGCACTAAAGGGCGGCGGGGCCGAAACGAAGGGCGGCGGGGCCGCTAGGGGAAGGGGCCGCTAGGGCGTAGGGGGGGCCGCTAGGGCGGCTCGGCGAGGTGAGAGCTCGGAGCGCGACTCGGGCGGAGCGCGCTTCGGGCAGGAATTGTTTTTTTGAAACTCGATGTGGTGGGCCCTAGGCACAGTTCCCAAGGGGGAACTTGCTCGATACCATGAGGAAAGTAGAACGAGAATGAATGACTAAGGAATGGAAGTGATACAAATATGCAACCCTAGAAATGTGTACCCCATATGGGCTACCCCACTATAGCCTACACCATATTATAATTTGACATAACGGGGTTGAGTGTTCGGCAGGCGTTAACAATGATGGCGTTATGGGACCTGAACATTCGAAGAGGCCAGAATGCAGTTGCTATGCTGGATCGCATAATCATATGATTGGCCAGTCCATTCGACCAGTCGCATATGATTGGCCGCATCACTGATCCCTCGCATGGTGTAAGCTCTCGGCCTTGCACCATGCAGCGGATGAGTGGTGCGCCACTTTACTAGGGGAAACGGTTTCCTGGAACCATCGTATTGCTAAAAACGCAGGCGTTAAAAGGGCTGTTCGGCAGGCATTTTAACGCACTCAGACTCGACATCAATCCGCCTATCTCGAACCTTGATAACTAACCGCTCGCTTATCTTTTCACTGTAGCCTGTCCCCGAGCCTGATATTAACGCCTTTTTAGCGCCTGCCGAACTGGGCCTTGGTATTGAAAATAGGTCGGTTTGTAGAAACTCACCGCACTAAGAGCGCACAGTCACGTTCTGGGGTAGTCAACTGGTAATACCGTATTTGGAATGTTATCTGGGTTTAGGGTTATTTCGAAAGTCAGGAACAATTAACTTTTGGGACATAGTCCTAACAACACCCACATGCTCATATTCTGTAAGGAATTTTCTCGATATTCCTTAGCGCGCCCTGCAACATCGCGTACAGCAGCAGCCGTTGTTCGCCCATTACTGCTAACGGATCTTCGCCGACTTCGCGCGCACTGTTTCACCAAACCACGCACTGCTGGCCTGGCCGTGTCGGCCTACGCTTCGGGACTAGCCCAAGCCTTGCTTCCAGCATAGCACTAGCTAGCTCGCACGTACCGCGTTACCGTTTGCATGTTTCTATCAGAACATTATAGCTTATGCATATTGTGTAGGCTATAGTGGGGTAGCCCATAAGGGGTACAACCCAATTAGGGTTAGTACTTGTACCCAATTCATTCATAGTTCATTCATTCCTTGTTTCTTCTCATGGTATCAAGCAGGTTCCCTAACGGGAACGATTCCTAGGGCCCACCACTACGAAATTTTTTTTTCCTGCCCGGAGCGCGCTCCACTCAGCCCGAGTCGCGCTCCGTGTGCTCTCCCTACCGGCGCGCCCTCGCTAGGCCCCAGCAGCCGAGCCGCCGAGCCGCCCAGCAGCCGAGCCGCCGAGCCGCCCAGTCGCCGAGCCGCCCTGCCGCCGAGCCACCCGAGCCGCCGAGCCGCCCTGTCCGATAAGAGCAGCTCCTCTACCCCTGCACTGCCCTTACCCTACTGTTCGCGCTGCTAGTCTACTGTTGTCATGGCTACCCCTAGTGTCCTCGCTTTTGACGCCGAGGGTAGGGCCATTGACTTTGACGTCAAGGTCGACGACCTGCAGCTTTTCTTACAGTGCGATAGGGCAGACGGCCTCTCCCTCTTTGACCTCACTTCTGGTGCCTCTCCTGCCCCCGCTGCTGATGCTGACGCCACTGTTCGCTCACAGTGGGCCACGCGCAATGCTGCTGCACGTCTTGCTGTGCGTCGCCACCTGCCTACCTCTGAGCGTGCGCACTTTAGCCAGTACAAGAGTGCTCAGACCTTGTACGACACTGTAGCTGCACGCTACTCCTCCCCTGCCACTGCTGCACTGAGCTGCCTCATGCTACCGTACCTCTTCCTTGACCTTGCTGCCTTTCCCACAGTCGCTGACCTCATTACACACCTCCGCACTAGTGACACTCGCTACCGCGCTGCGCTTCCTGCTGAGTTCTGCGCCAAGAACCCCCCCCCCCCCATGTACATCACCCTCTACTACATAGTCACCCGTCTTCCTGACTCCCTTCGCGTATTCAAGGACCACTTCCTCTTAGTTTGCCCCACCACTCTCACCGTTAACCTCCTCGAGAAGGCCCTCCTAGCAGCAGAAAAGAGCATAGTCGCTGTAGGAGCCTCTCGTGGTGACCCTCGCACCCCCATCTTTGAGGGGTGTTCCCCCTCCCCTCTTTTGCCCTCTGTTGCCTCTGCTGCTGCGGCCGACCTCGTTGGTCTGGAGTCGGTCGGTGCGGCGTCTACCCCTAGTGGGAAGCGTCGCTCTGGCAAGGTCAAGGGGGGCAGGGGCGCTGGAGGAGCTAGCGGGGGCGGTGGAGGCGGCGGTGGAGGCAGTGGAGGGGGTGGGGGTGGTGGTGGGAGTGGTGGCGGGGGTGGAGGTGTCGGCGGCGGCAGTGGAGGCGGAGGCGGCGGCGGCGGTGGCGATGGGAGCGGAGGTGGTGGAGGTGGCGGAGGTGGAGGAGGCGGTGGCGGAGGAGGAGGAGGAGGAGGTTGTGGCTCTTCGCAGAGGAGTGGCTCCGGTGGTGGTCAGCGCCAGCAGCAGCAGCGCATTTGGGAGACCATGTCCCCTCAGCAGCTCCGTGAGTGGTACGCTGCACGCTAGCGGGGTGGGGGTACTGGACCATGCACCTACGTCCTGCCCACCGGCGACCGTGCGGGTGAGCAGTGTGGGGGAGCGCACTCCACCTAGCGCTGCTTTGGCCACCCGACGGACGCTTGGCGTCACCAGTTCCCTGAGGCCACTGAGATCCCTCGCTGGGGCGAGCTGTCTAGGGCAGGGTTAGCTATCTTTGACCTTGACTTTGATGCTATTCTTGCTGCTATGTATGCTGTGTCTATTAGTGATGAGGGTGACTGTTACCGGTGTTTCCCGCCCGACCCGGGCATTGAGACTGCTGCTCTAGGTGCTGGTGAGGCTGCTGCTCTTGGTGCTAGCGAGGCTGCTGCTCTAGGTGCTAGTGCGTCTGCTTCCTCCGGTACTCGTGAGTCTGCGCTCTCAGGTACTGCGTCGGCTTCAGCCTCCCACACCTTCACACTTGACTCGGGGGCTTCTTGCTCCTTCTTTCGAGACCGCACCACACTCACGCCGCTTGGTCGGCCAGTTGCAGTCTCCCTGGCAGACCCCTCTGGGGGTCCTGTCCTTGCTCACTTCTCCACTATCCTCCCGTGTCCGGCGGCCCCCTTCGGCACCCTGTCTGGTCTTTACCTAACCTCGTTCTCTACGAACTTGGTGTGTGGTGCTGACCTACAGGATGCGGGGGTTCACCAGTTCACTCCTGCGAGTCAGCGCGTGACCCACTGCACGGACGCTAGAACAGGCCGACACCTGCCCACGTTTACACGTCGGCCGGGGTCGAGCCTGTACACACTGACCACTGCGTCTCCTCTAGCCACTGCGTCTGGTCAGGTAGCTGCGTCGGGTCAGGTGTTTGCTGCAGCGTCCAGGTCTGGTCCTGAGTCTGCCCCCTGCTCGTATCGCCTCCTGTCTCACGAGACTCTCCTCTGGCACCACCGTCTTGGTCACCCCTCCCTGCTTTGTCTCCGAAGCATGGCCTCCCGTGTCCTTGTCTCTGGTCTTCCCCGGTCCCTCCCTCCCCTTCCTCCGGGGCCTGGCCCTACCTGCGTCCCCTGTGTCAAGGGGCGGCAGCGGGCTGCCCCTCACTCCTCCCAGTTTCGTCCGACAGAGGCCCCGTTGCAGACGCTTCACATGGAGGTGTGGGGCCCTGCCCGTGTCCGTGGACAG